CATACGTGTCTTCATGAATTCCATCCGTACAATAATTGGTGACGTCGTGACAAACTTCGTGGTACTTCGTGCGGAATTTCTCAGATGGAATGAAAAAGGAACTTCAACGCCGGGACTGAAACTGAGTCTTGTGGTCTCGCCCGGTTGCTCATCGCATCTGTCATTCCTTATGTTCCGTGTTCTGTGACACAGCCAAACATTCCCACAGATTATCTCGTACCTCAAGATCTGTTGCTTCCGTTGAGAGAGAAACATCTGCATCGACAGATTTTTTTCTTGCAGAATATTGCATCTCTGAATCAGCATTTTTCGGTTTTATCTCGGTCCGCAAAACAACGCCCTGACGCCAGATTCCGTTTGCGTGTTCGGTACGGTTTTTCGGTTTGTTTGAATCTATTTTCGATTCCTGGTGGATTTTGAGAGTACCTAGTTGCTTATTTCTGTTAGTGATTCCATAATATGACAGTGATGATGAACACTAGTGCATTCATGTGATTATAACTGGTCTGCTACTACATCTCAGAATATTCTGCTTGGTGAGCGCATTTCTTCCTCCATGATGGCTTCTTTCAAAAAAGTTTCCTCTTGTCTCTCCTAGGTTTGGATATTCAGAACTTTCTCTGGCTGACTTTGTGCTGCAGACGTCTGGCTAGATCATAGTTGACTTTTTGGCCTCCCTTGCCTTCTGGTACTCCTCTGTAGGATGGTTTGGGAGCTGATACACTGTTGTAAGTTTATACTTATCACGTTTTCAATTCATTTATTGTTCTCTCCTATGCCTATGTTTCCTTATTCTCACATTTCATGTCCTTCATTTGTAGGTTTCCCAGTATGTCGCATTCATTGCCCTTCAGAGCTTTCAGCCTCCTGTGTCGAACAACTCAATAGGTGGTGCTACTGGATGGATGGTGTTTATTGGACAGGGCTGTTCGTGCTTCGGTCTCACGTGCGATTTGTGGCTCACATGGAACAAGCAAAAAATTCACAGCAGTAAGTGTACTTTTATTTTTATTATTTTTTATATAAACGATACCCATTTTTGACTATACTACATACCCATATTGAATCTACATTTACATTTTTCTTTACAAAATACCTACCCATAGTGACATACCTAAATGAATTTTACCTATAGTTCTTCATATGACCACCTAGTACCTGAATTACTGTCCAGTTATTTTTTGTTATTTGAGAACTGTTTCTTCTCTCTATTATTGTGATATGTTTTCTATCTTATTCATTTATGTTTTAATAATTCTCTAAAATCTAATAAAAAGGTTTCTCCCGCTAACTCATCTTCAACTCTTCATCTTTTGACATTCCTCTCATCATATTATTCTCTCTGTCTTACTGGTGAATATATACTTAGATCATTTTCTGATATCCTCTGCCTATGATTATCATTATGTTGCCGTACATTACACATTTATACTCATTTATTCTTGCTTTCTCGTCATTCACTTAACTTAGTTGAGCGCACTCAACTCTGCACTGTTACAGCTTCTTTTCTGAAGCATTCCCAAAATAATGAATCTGAAATTGTTCATACAACTCCCTCGAATTGCTTTATCCTTATGCCTCCCTAATAAAGGGTTTGTGTTCACTGAATTGATTCAGCTTCTTCCACACTTTCCTCATAAAGGCTACATTGTGTGTGACATCTTATCTGCGTCATTTCTATTTGCTTTTCCATAATTATTATAATATCATAGGCTCAACACGAAAAAAAATCATCCCCAAACATATATCATTCAAGTAAAAATCATTTCATAGGATCTACATAAAACAAATCATCTTCAGCATATATCATTGTTACGATACTGTAAATTAGGCTTAAGTATAGATCTGTTTATGTTCAATGTTTTATGTATTCCATGACATGACGTATGTATGGTTGACAGTTGACATACAAGAGACAGACTACTTTAATTAATATCGTTCTTGTTAGCGTTGCTTGTGTTAATAAACTATAATAATTATTTAATGAGTATTATTAATAAACTGATAACTCATTAAACTGTAACATGGTGTCAGGTGTGGCAATGTCAGGAAAATATATGTATATTGCCGACCTGTTATCGAGATCGTTCATAAAAACTAAACAGAGAGATGAATCAGAAGTCAAGTTCGTACATTGTCTAGATTTAGATATTCCTATTTCTAGTAGTAGTCTAGAAAACTTGAAAAAAGAGAGTGAAAATGACTCTATTTTGTCTTCAATTAAAAAATTTTGTATTTCCGGTTGGCCAGAAAACATTAAAAAATTTGAACCTAGTCAAGAACTTTCAGCATTTTTCAAAATTCGAAATGACTTGATTGTCAAAAATGATTTAGTGTTTTACAATGATAAAATAATTGTTCCTAAAACATTGAGAAACATCATGCTATCAAAGTTACATAATACAGCTCATCTGGGTGCAGAAAAATGTAAGACTCGTGCTAGGAAAATCTTTTACTGGCCTGGCCTTAGTACCGACATAAATAATTTTGTTGCGAAATGCACAACTTGCTTAAAATTTTGTAAGAAACCAGTGAAGGAAAAGTTATTTCAACATGATAGACCGAACATTCCCTATCATAAAGTAGCTGCTGATATTTTAACCTATGGCGGTCATGATTATTTAGTAGTCGTTGACTATTTTAGTATGTGGATTGATTTAGTACAACTAAATTCTAAAACAGCAGAGGAAGTAATCAGTAAACTAAAACCAATATTTTCAGAACACGGTATTCCGACAATATTCATGTCAGACAACATGCCTTTCAATAGTTTGGAATTTAAGAAATTTGCACGAAAATGGGATTTTAACTTGGTCACCTCAAGCCCATTGTATCCCAAATCAAATGGATTGGCAGAGCGTTCGGTTGGCATTTGTAAAAATATTCTACGTAAATGTAATGATACAGGTAGTGATATTGATAGAGCATTATTAGAATATAGAGCGACACCACTTGTTGGAATAAATCTGAATCTGAATTATTGAATCGAAGACTTTTGAGAACTACCTTACCAGTATCAAAGAATGCATTGTTAAAAAAGCCAGATATTGATTTTGAAAAATTGAACTCTCATAGAAATAAAGCTAAAATCTATTATGATAGACAGGCCGTGTCAAGGAATAGTTATAAGAAAGGTGATAGTATTATATTAAGAAAAGAAAAACATTGGGTTCCAGGAGAAATAATAGGCAATAGTGAATATCCTCGCTCGTATGTAGTCAAAGACAATGTCGGTAAAGTTTACAGGAGAAATTCTTCATTTATCAGACCTTCTCCTAATGCCTATCGGGAAGAACAACCCCAATTCGGAGAAGTTGTTGAGACTGATCAACACAATGAGCCGGGACCTGATGTTATGCCCTCTCAGGGAGATAGAAATAATTCTACAAATAACATTCCTGGATCTTCTAATCATGATAATGCTATAAAGACTAGAGTAGGTAGAGTTATCAATAAACCTCTCCGATATAGGGAATAGAAAAAGAGGGAGATGTTACGATACTGTAAATTAGGCTTAAGTATAGATCTGTTTATGTTCAATGTTTTATGTATTCCATGACATGACGTATGTATGGTTGACAGTTGACATACAAGAGACAGACTACTTTAATTAATGTCGTTCTTGTTAGCGTTGCTTGTGTTAATAAACTATAATAATTATTTAATGAGTATTATTGATAAACTGATAACTCATTAAACTGTAACAATCATTCAAATAATAATCATATCATAGGCTCTACAAAAAAAAATCATCTTCAGCATATATCATTCGAATAATAATCATAATCGTAATACACAAAAATCTATCTGTCTTTATTGAGGTCAAATAAAATGTGATAATCATAAAAAAAATAGAATATGTCTTTCCTACAGAAGTTTCCTGAATAAGTGAAGGGTTGAAGATTACATCCTGTCTAGATTCCAGGATATAAAATTTTATCGAGTTAGGGTTCCTGCAAAAAAATAAAAACACTGAACAGGAGAATGAAAATTGAAATATTTTCAAGATTCTTCCTCAGAATCTGCAATCTATGTAGGGTGCAACTTAAACTGTTCGTATTTGTTAGGTTAGATAATTCAATACCATCCATTGCTAGGATGAATTTATCATTCGATTGTGTGTTTTTTCTTTTTTTCTGGTTTTGGTTTATCATGTTCTTTCCTTGTTGCAGGAGTTTTCTGATGGGTGAGCCAGCTAGTTATCCACTTATAGCACAAGTACACCATGAACATTACCAAAAGAGTACACAGGAAGGAAACGAATATATAATGACTGAGGGGGGTATTTTTGTCAGCTCTAACGGTAGGGATCGTAGGGATTATGGCCAGATTTTGGCGGGTTCCAAACAGGATGGAAGCTATTCAAATGGACAAAATGGAGTTCCAGATCAGAAATATTGTGTCTGCATGGATTCCGTGAGTATCTGAGTAGATTACTCTTCTATTTCCCTCAATTGATTCTAAAATCTCATGAATACTTTCTTGTGTTGTTGTCCAATTTAGATGGGGAATGTTTAATTTCCAATTTGTATTCAAACATTCCGTAATGTTACTGAAAGTAGGAAAACTTGTTTCTGCTCTGGGATTTAGGATCAATGATTTTAAATTAGACCATGCAGCTGTAATGATGTGTGAAATGGTTGCTATGTGGGGTAGATCTTCCATACTGGGGTTGTTGGGTTTTTATTTGAATTTGTAACTTTAGTGATTTCGAATGACCTTGTATATTGTATTTTTTGAGAGATGACATGTTTTTGAAAGGTAAAAAAAAGAGTTGAAGTTTGCGAAGAATAAATAGAAACGAAAAAAGGTACAAGAGTAGTTATCTAATTTGTAAAGGAAAAAAATCGATAAACATTGTGCTGGTCACATCGAGCGGATCCTTATAAGGACATTTTAGGTAATTATATACATTGTGCTGGTCCATCAAGCGGATCCTTATAAGGACATTTTAGGTAATTATATACATTGTGCTGGTCCATCAGCCTACAGAACGGCAAATGGAAACAAGAAGCAAGACTGCTAAAGCCAGAAGTGAGAATCTCAAACGTATTGCTATCATGGATAAAGCAAAGAGCATCAATACTGAACGAGACGCCGCGGGAGACAAGATATCTGCAATCTCGTCCAGTAGACATGAAAGAAGTGATGGTAGACAATCTGAGAGGAATTCAGCAGCTAAATCTATCAGGTCGTCGCATGCTAACAGTAATTATAGAAGAAAAATGATCGAAGCGCAGGTAAGAGCTGATGAACAAATGGCTAAAGTGTTATCCAAACAGCTAGAAATGGAAAAGCAAATGATTGAAAATAGGTTGGCATTGGAAAAAGCTAGACTGAATGAGGAATATGACTTGGGGGTAGGTGATTTACATCAATTTGAAGATGATACATCTTGCTCAGTGGATTCCAAAGTGAAAGTACGTGAGTGGTTACAAGACATCGACGAAAGTGTCAAGAATGTGACAGGTAAGAGGTCGTTCCACAACAGTCATTTTGATGATACAGGGTCGAATAAAAACTATAGCCTAGTACCAAGCTCCACTCATCCTGTGCCAGACACAGACATTAGGCAGCTGCTCGCAAGACAATCAATCGAGAAAGATCTTCCTACGTTTTCCGGTGATACTATTGAGTGGCCAAGTTTTTATCAACAGTTCCTTTCTACAACGAAACTTTTACGTCTTTCAGATGAAGAAAACATGTGCAGATTGCGGAGAGCTCTGAAGGGGGATGCTAGACGCTCAGTTGAAGGAGTACTGTTGTCTACTGCATCAGTCAAATCAGTTATCGACATATTGATCAGTAGATATGGTCGAGCAGATTTGATTGTGAAGAGTCTTGTCAACAAAGCAAAGCATTTTCCTGTAATGAAAAATAATGATTTCAGATCTTTAACCCATTTTGCGGAAGACGTTTCTAATCTGGTAGTCACCCTGGAAATAATGGATATGCGCAACTACTTGGAGTGTCCACAACTGCTCGAAGAGATTCTACAAAAGTTACCATACAACATGCAGCTTTCATGGGGCGAGAAAGTGCTGAATGCGAATGGAAGGAGCTCTCTTCGAGAATTCAAGGAGTGGATATGGAGAAAGTCAGAAGCAGCTAGTTATGCTCAGTCTATGAATGTGGGTAAGACTTCACAAAGCCAGACATGTGGTAAGATATTTCCAAATCAATCCAATAAAGAGAGATTTAAAACAACTCTTGTTACTTCTCAAGAGAAGAGAAAAACCATACAAAAATGTATTTTATGCAAAGAAGAACACTCAATAGATAAATGCAAAACATTTTTAGATCTCCCTATAGATGATAAATGGAATTTAATAAAGAGTAAAGGTGTATGTTTCTCTTGTTTGGACACATCTCATAGAATCAGATTTTGTCGATTAAAGAAAAAATGTGGAGTGAGTAATTGTGAAAAGGTACATCACAAGAGTCTTCATAATGAAGCATTTGACAAAAGTATTGAGAATGAAGACACAACAGGCCTCGAAGTAATTGCTCATACCACAAAATCATATTGTTCGGAAATTCTATTGAAGATAACACCCGTTATAATAAGAACCTCTCGCGAGGAACTTGAAGTTTACGCGCTCTTTGATGAAGCTTTAACAGTTACTCTTCTAGATCAAGAATTGGCAGACAAACTATGTCTTCCAGGGAAAGTAACAGATTTAAGTTTGAAGTGGACTCAAAAAGACACATGTAGAAAAATGACGTCAAGAAAAGTGAGTTTTGAGATTTCAGACAAATCCAAATCTACATTTTATACGATGGAAAATGTATACACTGTGGAGAATTTGGACCTACCCAGACAGTCAGTTGATGGTAGGAGAATGAAAGAAAAATGGGGTCACCTGAAGCAAATAGATTTCGCAAGTATGTACCAAGCTAAACCACAATTACTGATAGGTCAAGACCATTGGGAACTCATCACGACCCGAGAGGTAATTGAAGGTCCGAAAAACTCTCCAGCATTGTCAAGGACGAAATTGGGTTGGATAGCACATGGTAATCTACGACAATTCCGAAATAGGGTGGATGACAATATCGTTCTGCACATTTCTCATCAAAAAAGATGTGATGAAGAATTGCATGAAGAAGTGAAGAGATATTTTTCCACAGAAGCATTTGGAGTAAAGATTCCAGAAGGAAAGGTAATGGGTTCAGAAGATAAGAGGGCTACAGAAATAATTGAAACAGTCACAAGAAGGATCGAAAATGAAAAGCGATGGGAATGTGGTTTATTGTGGAAGAAAGATGAATTGGTTTTACCAGAAAGTAAACAGAGAGCGATTCAGAGGTTGGAGTATATAGAAAAAAGAATGGCTCGTGATTCGGAATTCTCGAAAGCCTATAGACGAAAGATGCAGGAATATCTGGACAAGAATTATGCAGAAAAAGTGGATGAAGAGATAAAAGAACCGAGAAGGAAATGGTATCTGCCACATTTTGGAGTCGTGAATATAAACAAGCCAGGAAAGTTGAGATTCGTCTTCGATGCGGCAGCTAAGGTAGATAATATGTGTCTAAATGATTTCTTGCTGAGAGGTCCTGATTTGTTCAATTCTCTAGTCGGCGTAATTTTCAAATTCAGAGAAAAAGATGTAGCCTTTTCGGCAGATATTCGTGAGATGTTTCACCAGATTACGATAAGAAAAGAAGATCGTGCTGCACAACGATTCCTCTGGAGAAACGTCCAGAATGAAGAAATCGCTACCTATGAAATGAAAGTAATGATTTTTGGTTCTGTTTGTTCACCTTTTTCCGCACAGTTTGTGAAAAATCGAAATGCTTCCGAATTCCAGAAGAAGTATCCTCAGGCAGTTGATGGAATTATCAATAGACATTATATGGATGATTATCTGGATAGTGTCTATACAGAAGAAGAGGCTATTCGTCTGGTGAATGAAGTAATCCATATTCATAGACAAGGAGGTTTCGAACTGAGAGGATGGGTATGTAATTCCAAGAAAGTTTATAGTAATATTCCAGAAGAACTGAGAGGTGATGAAAAACTTCTGGAAGAAAGTGACAACATATCCCAAAGGATTCTCGGACTCAAGTGGATTCCTTCTACTGACCATCTGAAATATTCTCTGCAAGTCGATAGAATGAATGAGATATGCATAAGAAAAAAAAAGCCAACGAAAAGGGAAATACTCAAGATCGTCATGTCCCTTTATGATCCCCTAGGACTCCTTGCACACTTCGTAATGAGAGCAAAAATCCTGCTACAAGATATATGGAGGAGTGGTATAGGTTGGGATGATGAAGTGACCGAAAATCAATATATGAGGTGGAAACGATGGAGTCATGAGTTTGAGAACATTGAAGAAATGAAGATCCAAAGATGTTATGCTATGAATTTTTCATCTGATTTCAATTTACAACTTCACATTTTGTGCGATGCAAGTGAGCAAGCATTTGCAGCTGTGGGATATTTTCGATTTGAGAAAAATGGAAGAATTCAAGTGTCTCTTGTTATGTCTAGAACGCAAGTAGCCCCTCTGAAGCCAATGACAATTCCTCGTTTGGAACTACAGGCTGCAGTGATGGGTGCAAGGTTGGCGAATATGATAAAAAAAGAACACTCGCTTCAAATAAATCAAGTTTTCTATTGGACAGATTCGAGGACTGTTCTATGTTGGTTGAGATCTGAACCAAGAATGTTCAAGACATTCATCACACACAGAGTAGGTGAAATACAGGAAAATACCAAAATTCCTGAATGACACTATATTCCCACTAGTCTGAACATTGCAGATGAGGCCACAAGAGACACAAAAGATATCAATCTAGAAATGAATAGCATTTGGTTTCGTGGTCCAAATTTTTTATACTTGAATCAAGAGTGCTGGCCAAAGCAAGAAAAAGAGAAGGAGAAAGACACAGACATTCAAGAAGAACCCGAAAAATTCGAACTCAAGCAAGAATTCATCTTGTTAATTTCAGTTACAGAAAATATAGATTATCTACCAGAAATAACAAGATTTTCGAACTACATGAAATTGATAAGAAGTACAGCTTTTGTTTTCAGATTTATAGATAACATCAAGAAAAGAGGAAGTGGATTGAAAAAACAAGAGTTGGAAAGAGAAGAATTGCAGAAAGCAGAAAGAAGTTGGTGTATGAAAGTACAAGAAGAATGTTTTGCAGAGGAAATACGCCTTTTAAAGAAGAATGCAACTGTAGAAAAAAGTAGTAGAATTCATCAGTTGTCTCCATATCTAGAAAATGGCATCATCTGTTTGAAAGGAAGGACAGACAACTCCACCGAGTTTTCATTTCAAACAAAAAGGCCCATCATTCTAGACAATAAACATGCTTTCACAAAATTACTTGTACAATTCTATCATTCCAGAAACAATCATATTGGTGTTCAACAAACTCTGAATGAAATAAGGCAAAAATTCTGGATATTACAGGCCAGGAAATTAGTGACAAATATAATCAAATATTGCAATTTCTGTCGATTGAAAAGGGCGAAGCCTCAAGTTCCTGAAATGGGCCAACTTCCAAAGATGCGACTGCAGAGACCACCCAGAGCATTCAGTTTTACAGGGATGGACTATTTCGGACCCATGGAAGTTTCAATCGGACGTAGGAGAGAAAAGAGATACGGAGTGATTTTTACCTGTCTCTCAATTAGGGCAATTCACATAGAACTCGCAGAATCTCTTACCACTGACTCGACTATTTTAGCAATTAGAAGGTTTACTTCCAGAAGAGGACATCCTCTCGAAATTTGGAGTGACAATGGTTCAAACATGACTTCTGCGAACAAGGAACTGAAAGAAGCCATTCAAAATTTGGATGAAGATTTGATTTCGAGAAAAATGATAGCTCATGAGATCGAATGGAAATTTATTCCGCCAGGAAGTCCACACATGGGTGGAGCTTGGGAGCGTATGGTACGTTCAGTTGAAGATGGCCTGAAGAAAATTCTCAAAGAAAAAGCGCCAAGACAAGAAGTTTTATTGACATTACTAGCCGAAGTGGAACATACCGTGAACAGCAGACCTCTTACATATGTCTCTTCAGACTGTGGAGATCCCGAGAGTCTTACTCCTAATCATTTCCTCATAGGCACATCTAGTGTAGCTAAGCCACCTATCGTGTTTACTGAAAAAGAAATGGAGTTCAATTTGAAAAAACAATGGCAGTTTTCACAGCAATTGGCTGAAAATTTTTGGAATCGTTGGATACGAGAATATTTACCAACACTAAGCAGAAGGTCGAAATGGATCCAGGACAAGAAAAATTTGGAGAAGGGGGAAATAGTTGTCGTCATGGATAACAAACTTCCAAGAAACAATTGGCCGCTAGGAAGAATTGTTGCAGTCCATCCAGGACAAGATGGGAAAGTTCGTGTCGTCGATATCAAGATCAGAGACAACATTTATCGTCGGCCTGTTGCCAAGTTGTGCCCGATTGATATTTTGGAAATATGTATTCAAGGATAGGCCGTATTTGAATACAGGAGGGAGAATGTTGGGTTTTTATTTGAATTTGTAACTTCAGTGATTTCGAATGACCTTGTATGTTGTATTTTTTGAGAGATGACATGTTTTTGAAAGGTAAAAAAAAGAGTTGAAGTTTGCGAAGAATAAATAGAAACAAAAAAAGGTACAAAAGTAGTTATCTAATTTGTAAAGGAAAAAAATCGATAAACATTGTGCTGGTCACATCGAGCGGATCCTCATAAGGACATTTTAGGTAATTATATACAGGGGTATCTGCGTGGGATAATTTCTTCCCCCTCCATGAACAGTCTACAATTACATGGTATATTCGTTTCAATGGCACCTGGAGTGTTATAAGCAATTTTATGCACATTGATTGTAGAATTCGGACACTGAATTTCTGTTTTAAATTTAGGGTGAGTGATGATATATGTTTCATCTTCAATTTCTGATTTAACAGTTGTTGATGATTTATGACAACTCATGGGGCAATGATGATTCATTTCTTCCACAGTAGTTCCTTTGAATTACTTTTTTGCACATGCTGGCCCTTGAAGAGAGTTTGCAGGAAATCTAGGCAGGTAGCAAAGTTCATCATGAAAAGGTCTGCAATGTTGCAGGCCTGTTCCTAAAATTTGTCTTATTTGTGTCGCTTTTTC